CTCTAATTTGTCCTTGGCTTCCTTGGCTCATTAGGTAGTCATCATTAAATCCAGAGTATCCAGCGGATATCCTTCCATTACTGTTAGGGAAGCCTCCATTGCTGTTTGGGAGAGCCCCGTTGTTTCCTTGGAAAATGCCGTTATTTTCAGGAATGACGCTGTTGGTTCCTTGAAAGCCTCCGTTGCCTATTCGAATGGGTCCATAGTTGATGGAAAGCCCACCATTTGACGGGCCTCCAAAAATTCTTGGGTATCCTCCACTGCTTCCAGTTGTTTTCTGGATATATAATAGTGTTTCCTATGTTATGACCGTTGTTTCCTTGGGAAACTCCATTCATTCCCGAGTAGCCTCCATAATTTTCAAGGAAATCTCTATTGTTTCCAAGATATCCTCCGTTGTATCCAGGGTAAATGCCAATATTTTCTGAGAAAGCTCCAACGCTTCTTGAAATGCCTTCTAAACCATACATTTTGATCGCATCCGAAATTACTTTATAAAACCTATAGTAAATTACCATGGTTGTAGGAGCCAATGTTCACCAATGACGGCATATAAATTCTTATTATAAAATCGACTATTGCTTTTTGTTTATCATCGAGCGTAGCCATCAATGCAATTGTTTTGTTGATTGCGAGCATAATTGATTGCTTCTAAATTATGTAATTGACTTAATATAAGAGCAAATTTTTTGATTCCCCCACAACAATGATCGAACTTTATCATCAGTAATCCTCAAATAGTCAGTGAAGAATTTTGTGAGTTTGGAAAAAAGCTCTGTAACAGTCCTTTTGAATTCGGCACTTTCCTTCTCAGATTCGGCGAAATACCTCATACATTCTTGCTGAAAATATCCCTCGTAACAAACTACCTACAGTTTTTAGCAAGTCTTACCTCAAGACCATAATTCCTCGCCCAGTTTTCAAGAGCAGTCTTAATATCATTGAGTGATTGTGAAAAGTTGTGCAAACGAGGAGATTGAGGGGAGAGGAGAAAGAGAGGAGTTGAAGGCCCAATAGCTCAAATGAGGCTTAACCTAATAATTGAAATTGAACTAAACTAATTCGTACCTGGACGATTTGAGAATAAGCCCTTATCGCTTGCGGAGAGGCTCTGGCCAAAAT